GGACCTTTATTTATACATCAGCTGGTAGATGAGAAGCTACCCTACGAAATACACTATTTCAAATCTTCTTTCTCTTTTGACAAGACATCTCAATTTTCGTTTTTTCTAAATATTTTTTTTTTGAAAAATTGACAACCGTTTTGCGTGGAACAAAGCTCTTGAACAAAAAATATCTGGGTAAAAGCTACAGCTTAGTTTCATATCATATTTTGTAGAGAAGTGTACACTTTAGAAAACAACCACACTTCTGACAATTTGTAGCATATTCGAAAAAGGATTTATATGGTAAACAAAATACCTATTGGCTCCCCATTAAAAATAATTTTTCAGTTCTTACCAAAAGTTCTTCACTACTCTTAAACAAAAATAGACACAACATTTCTAAGCTCATGCTTAAATTCTGGTCAGAACCTATAGCTTTTTGACTCGTCTGAAATGCATTGAAGCATGCCAAAATGAACAAATATGTTCATCGGAAACGTCGGCTTCGAAGTCCCGTCCGAACTAATTTTCTGGAAAATTATTTTACTACACTTGAATAAAATTTCTAAGCCCATATTCAAAAAGAGCATAAATTCATAGCTTTTGATTCGCCGAAAATATTTTCTAACAGATCAAAAGTAAACAAAGATCTTGTCGACAAACTCTCTAATCACCCGTTAGAAGATTCAAAATCTTTTATTCCAATGGAAATGTTTACAATGAAACACATTGACTAACTTTCATTTGATTCATTTTGTTTTTTCCAAAGATCTTGTATTTTTCTTGTACTTGTAACAGCTATCTGTAATTTTGATAAAAGATAGTTTGTACTACTTTTACAATTAAATAATTCAATATCTTTTGTTCGATCAATTCCATCATGCATTTGATTGATACAATATGTTAAAATAGAATCTTTAAAACAAAACAAAAAAAAAAAAGAAGATGTGGTGTTTGTTTATTTTTCTATATGATACTTTACATTTATATTGCCGTTTTAAATTATTCAAGAGATTTTCATGGTTAACTTGTATTAATTTTTGTTTATCAGCTATATCAATAAATTTTCGTGCCCATTCACGTATTGTTTCTTCT